AAAAAAACACTCAATGTTATCTTCTGGGTAAAAATAAAATGAGTAGAATGTTGTAAGAAAATGTAACATTTAAATAACATTAAAACACAAAGAACATTTTAACGCTCTTAGAATATTAAAAATAAACGTAAAAAGAATATTTTGGGTAAAAATAACAGTAGAACGTTCTAAGAAATGTTTCTGTAACCTTTAAATAACGTTACAATCACTGATTGGACACTTTTCAAAAGACTGTGCCTGCATCGTAAATCCTCGAAAGTTTTTTATATTCAGATTTTTTTTAAATGTATGTACATTTATAACACCATACTTTGTATTATATCACCTTTGCATCAAATGACAAGTAAACTAGTTAACGCTAATGCGAGGGTGTTTCTACCGTAACTATATCAAAACTTAATGTTTGATTAGTAATATGCATTGCTAAGAGCTTCATTTGAACAACTTTAAAGATGATTTTCTCAATATTTAGATTTTTTTGCACCCTCAGATTCCAGATTTTCAAATAGTTGTATCTCAGCCAAATATTGTGCTATCCTAACAAACCATACATCAATGGAAAGCTTATTTATTCAGAATCATCTCAACTACAGAAAAAGTGACCCTTAAGACTGGTTTTGTGATTCAGGGTCACATATTTGTGGTACTCTCCCATTCACTGCTCTCGAAGTAAACCCAACTATGACGACTTCCGCTGCTGAGAAACACAGAAATGTGAAAAAGGACTGTTTATTTATTTAAAGATGAATCTCTCTGTGTAGACGGTGGAGCTTTAAACCCTGACGCCGTTCAGACGTGTCCATACTGCCAGCGGACGTACCGGCGCGACGCGTCTCTGCAGGAACACATGAAGTTCTGTCAGGACGTCAGGGATGGAGGAGACTGCGCTTGTCCTCTGTGCGGATACAGTACGCCGTACCGCGCTCAGATGGAGCGACACCTGAGCCTCCACCAGACTCACGACAAGGTGCTGACATCAGATGCATGCATAACTAACCGCACACAAACAGAAACACAGCATGCTCATGATTTCACGTCTCTTCCTTCCAGAACTCCATGTCTGAGCCCGGTCTGGAGAGCAGAAAGTTCAAGTGCAATCAGTGTGGAAAGGCCTTTAAATACAAGCATCACCTCAAAGAGCACCTGCGCATTCACAGCGGTGAGAGACTCGAGCAAAGTGGATTCAAATGATTCTGCAAAAGGAATCTCACTCACGAGAAATACCCATCATAATTTATCCCAAATTATATTGTGCATAAAGAAATTAAAGCCTGTTAGGATTTCTCGTCCGTGCGGTGATTTTTTCTTTTTTAGGTAATTAAGCACATTTATCTGCTAAAGTCTCTTTATTGTAATGTAAACATATTGTTATTTTTAAAGTAATGAAAATTTGCCTAATTGCCTAAACAATAATAATGTCCAAAAAATTGTTATTTTTAAAGTAGTGATAATTACCCTGTCCAGACACAATTTATTTTTATTTATTTTTATATATTATATATTTTATATATTTATATTATATATTTTATTAGTTTTATATATTATTTATTTATTTAATTTATTTCTTTATTTCAGGGGGTTACATTTGCTGTTATAATAATAATAATACATAGTTAAATATATTAAGGCAATAAATCTTAAGATGATAAATAGTTCAAATAAAACAATACATATTTGAAATTGGAGTGAAATGTGTGAAAGTCAATTTCTGCCGCATGAGAAAACCTAATTGTTAAGAAAACTCATGCTTTGGTAAATAATAATTGACATAAGTCAGAATTATGAATTATTAATAAGTTTTCCATTGATGTATGGTTTGTTAGGATCGGACAATATTTGAAAATCTGGAATCTGAGGGTGCAAAAAAATCAAAATATTGAGAAAATCATCTTTAAAGTTGTTCAAATGAAGTTCTTAGCAATGCATATTACTAATCAAAAATTAAGTTTTGATATATTTACGGTAGGACATTTACTAAATATCTTCATGGAACATGATCTTTACTTAATATCCTAATGATGACTGGTTTTGTGCTCCAGGGTCACATATAGCATGTAAACAAACTTTTATTTTGAATGCGATTAATCGCGATTAATCGTTTCGCAATACAATTTTTTTTTTAAATATATACATATATGTTTGTGTATTTATATATACCTAATAAATATACACAGTACACGCACATATAGTATGTAAACAAACTTTTATTTTGATAAAAGTTGTATTTATGTGATTAATCGCGATTTATTCGTTTTGCAGCCCTAATTATGTTACATTCCTGTGTTTCTCCTGTGCAGGTGAGAAGCCGTACGAATGCTCGAACTGTAAGAAGCGCTTCAGTCACTCGGGCTCCTACAGCTCACACCTCAGCAGTAAGAAGTGCCTAAGCGGTGGCGGCGTGACGGGTAACGGCACTCATTATAACGGCCATCCCGCATACCCCTTCCCCTCGCCCACGTCGCCCCCTACTGTCAGCGGGAGAAAGGGCTCTCGGTTCCCGCCAGAGTCGTCTGTTCCCGTCCTGAGCCGCTCGTGGGACCCGGCGGAGGATCTGGCGCTGAGGACGGGTGTGTTTAAGGGCACAACGCTTCTGCCACTGCTACAGTCGCGCAACAAATTCGAGCATCTGCTGCAGGAGATGCTGCGGAGGGAGGTGGGAGACGAGAAACAATCGAAAATTGAAAACTTCTCTCGGCTGTACGATGCCCAAACGTCGCCCACAACCAATCACGCGCCTTATAGAAAGCTGTCGTCGCCGCAGCGGGCGTCTTGGCATTCTGTGCCGCAGCAGATCCTCGTGCCTTTACCGACACACGCGCAGCTGGATAACCGCTGGCCAAGTGAAGAAAGCGCGAGTCCGAGAAAACCCACGTCACCCGCTTTACCCGAGCGCCAGCATCCGATTGGCTCACGCTTCGGCTCTCCTCCCGGCTTGGACCTGTCAATCAACACGTCGCCACGGCAACCAAACCACATCCAGAGCGAACCTTTAGACTTGTCTATTCCCAAAGCGCATTCGGTCGCGCCGCGGAATCCTGCGTGTAACGGCAACTCGATGCATCACGAGGGCGTGTTCAAGAGACTGACTCCGCCCTCCCAGCAGCATGTGGGCGGGGCCTATGCGGCGTCGCCACTGTTCAGCAGCACGGTGTTCGGCAGCTTCCCGCTCTTCAATCACATGATCCCCACCGGTTTGGGACACAACGGTCTGACATCACTTCCTCTCACGCCACCCGCGCCCAGTCCGGGCTTCCTGTCTCCTGTGGCGTATATGGTGGAGGCGGAGTCAGAGTCGATGCTGAAGAGAATACAACATGAAAGACATTCGATCATGGTAAGAGCAGAACACACTCGAAATAAAGGCTACTGTAAAATATATATGAATTATATGTATAATAAAAAATGCTATTTTTATAACAAAAATGTGTTATGTGTAATAAAATATAAAAATAAAAACATGATATTCCTTGTAACATAAATGTTTTGTAAAAATGTGAAAAAATATTTTTTAAAAGATGTTATTAATTATTTATATTACAAAGTGTATTCTAAATATTTGTAATATTATATAAAAATACAATATGGTGTGTATTATAACAAAAAAATCTGAATGTGTATATTAAAATATGAGGAACTAAAAAAATGATATTCATTATAACAAAAATGTATTCTAAATATCTATAATAAAAATATGATATTCATTATAACAAAATATATTATGTATAAAATAAAAATAATTTTCATTTTAACAAAAATGTGTTCTAAATATGTAATAAAAAACATTTAAAAATAAATATGATATTCGTTATAACAAAAGTGTGTTCTAAATAGGTATAATAAAATATAAAAATAAAAATGATATTTATTATAATAATGTATTCTAAATATATGCAATAAAATATAAAAATGCAAATAAGTACAGCCTTCACAACACTAACTCAACATGAGTTCATTTAATTATAACAGTTTACAGCAAATGTGTGTGTGTGTGTGAGAGAGAGAGTGTGTGTGTGTGTGTGTGTGTACTGGTTTATATATCCTGGTGGGGACTTAAACCTGAATACACAGACTCATGGGGACTCGTGTCACGGTGGGGACCTAAACCCCACGGGTACAAAAGCTTATAAATCACACAGAATTAAGTTTTGTGAAAATCTGAAATGGCAGAAAGTTTTCCTTTAAAATTTTAATTAACAAAAATGTGTTCTAAATATATGTAATAAAAATATATAAATATGATATTCGTTATAACAAAAGTGTGTTCTAAATAGGTATAATAAAATATAAAAATAAATATGATATTTATTATTAAAAAAATGTATTCTAAATATATGCAATAAAATATAAAAATGCAAATGTGATATTCATTATAATAAAATTGTGTTCTGAATATGATTAATAAAAATTAAAAAATAAATATGATATTCATTATAACAAAAATGTATTCTAAATATATACAATAAAATCTAAAAATACAAATACAATATTGATTATAACAAAATGTATTCTACATGTCTAATAATGTACAAAAACATGAAATTCATTTTAACACAAATTTATTCTACTATAAATATGAATAATAAAATCTCAAAATACAAATATTTATTATAACAAAAATGTATTTTAAATATGTATAATAAAATGAATGTGAAAAACAACAAAGACCAGTGTAACACCTTGACAACCCGTTTCCTGTCCTGTGTAGATGTATTTCCTGTTTAAACAGGAAGTTGGGGTGGAACATATTGTCATTATTACCTTTTTTTTCAAATACCCAGTAGCCATCGATTTACATCTGTTTATTTTATTGCAAGAAAACAACTTTTAAAATGTTTATCAACATTGACTGTTTTATTGATTTGCATTGCTTTTCACAACACACACTGATTCAAAGCAGCTTTGCAGAAAACCGTGATGTTTATCATATCTTCTTCATGCCTTATAGTTGCGTTTAGCAGATTAGATCTGGGTGATAATATAGTTTAGTTCATCTGCTAAAAGTCAAAAAAAGACTCAAAAAAGACTTCTATTTTGTTTATTAATGTAATATTCAGCTTTAATCTTCAATCCTCTTTGGAAATGCTAGTACTTAGTAAGCAAATTAAATGATATTAGAATGAGAGAGACCGATTTTACACTCTTAGTCATAAAAGCAGAATATGAAAGGTTATATATATATATATACACACACGCACACAATGCAAGAGCGCCTCATATTGCACCAGCTGCGCTGACATCCATGTGCAGGTGAATGATTTCCTCTGCTTGAGCTGTAAACAAACACGCCACGCTCAGGGAAATTCCCTGCACTTCATGTCAAACGGCAGCGAGAGCACACGCCTGCACACTCATATCTCAGCATCTCACCGTTACACTGCCGACATATTCAAGAATATTTAGAAAACGGTAATCATAGTCATGCATTTGCTCCACGAGGATCAAACATACTAATAAACGCAAAAATCTAATTTCTAGATATAAAAACCTCTGGTAAATAAATAAATAAATATGCGGTATACAATTGCATGATTAAAATAGCAAATGCTATTTTGCAGAATTATGACCATGCAAGTGCAATAACTTAATTAGTGCATTTCGTTATTAATGGAATTTGCAATGTGGTGTTATACTGCATTTGAGCTACTTCAGGCAGGTTTTAAAAATGTATTTATTTAATATTTGATCAAATACATGGTGAATTGCATATGTGACCCCGGACCACAAAACCAACCCCAGCGACTTAACACTGCTTTTGTGCTCGAGTCACATATAATAATACTTTATATAATAATGAACTGCAAAAGAAAAAGGTTAAGACAGGTGAAATTATTCAACTGTCTCGAAATATACCCCATATTCCCTAACTAACACACTCATATTCATATGTATTTTAATCTACGATCTTGATTTCTAAGTTAATGTTTGTGTTTGTGTGTGACATACCAAGGAACACACTGCTGAATGCGGGCCTAATAATAACTAATATTTCCTCCTCCTCTCTGTGTGCAGGCTGAAGCGCTGAGTCGCGGCGGTCTGGAGTATCTGTCTCTGATGGATGATGGGATTGATGGAGAGATCGGTTCTGGGAGGAAGAGGCTGAAGAAGACGGAGGAAGGACTGTACGCCTGCGACATCTGCGACAAAACCTTCCAGAAGAGCAGCTCTCTGCTGCGCCATAAATATGAGCACACAGGTACAGTACAGGTGTATACTGTATATATAATATGCTGATTATTATATTTAATATTTATTTATAAATATTGCATATTTATGTGTGTATATATATAAGTATTGTATATAAATATATACAAATATATAGAAATAAAAAAATAAAATATACAATTTTTTTAAAATATTTGTTTTATAAAAATTGACTTGTGTATATATATATATAATTGTTGATTATTTATTTATTTAATATTTATTTATAAATATTTTGCATATTTATGTGCGTGTATATAAGTATTGTATATAAATATATACAAACATAGAAATAAAAAATAAAATAAGTCAACTTTTATTTAAAAAAAAAATTGTGTATGTGTGTATATATATATATATTGGTTATTATATTTATTTATAAATATTGCATATTTATGTTTGTTCGTATATACAAATATATAGAAAAAAATTAACTAAATTTTTATTAAAATATTTAAAAATTGTGTGTTTGTGTGCACATAAATATATATATATTTATAAAAAGTTTGCATATTTGTGTGTGTATATATAAGTATTGTATATAAACATATAGAAATAAAAAATACAATGTCAACTTTTATAAAAATATTTTTTAAATTGTGTATGTGTATATATATATATATATATATAATTATATTTAATATATATATATATATATAATTCATATACTCGTATATAATACTTTAAAAATTCCTATATACAGAAAGGTATAGAGAGATAGATGAGACAAGCAGACAGAAATGTAAGTGCTCTTTCTTCTCTCTCGCTGCAGGGAAGAGACCTCACGAGTGTCAGATCTGTAAGAAGGCCTTCAAGCACAAGCATCATCTGATCGAGCACAGCCGCCTGCACTCCGGAGAGAAGCCGTATCAGTGCGACAAGTGCGGCAAGCGCTTCTCACACTCGGGCTCATACTCGCAGCACATGAACCACCGCTACGCCTTCTGCAGCCGCGACAGCGACCCGGACATCAGCGAGCCGCCCGCCGCTTACCTGAGCGACTCCAGCAGAGACGAGGACGAGGAGGACGAGGAGGAGGAAGAGGAGGACGCTTATGGTGGAGGAGTGAGGACAGAGCACGCAGACGAAAAACCCACAGACGGAAGCCAGAAACAGGAGAGTCCTGATGGAGAGTGAGACCAGACGATGCTGCAGTGTTTACCAAAGATGTGAAACACACATTCACCGCTGACGAGTCCTCATTAGTGTTCAGACTGTGAACAAACACATCCAACGCTTTTAGGCCAAAGACAGGCATGTGACCCTGGAGCACAAAACCAGTCATAAGGGTCAATTTCTTGAAATTTAGATTTATGCATCATCTGAAAGCTGAATAAATGGTCTTTCCATTGATGTATGGTTTGTTAGCATCGGACAATATTTGAAAATCTGGAATCTGAGGGTGCAAAAAATCTAAATATTGAGAAAATCATCTTTAAAGTTGTTCAAATGAAGTTCTTAGCAATGCATATTACTAATCAAACATTAAGTTTTGATATATTTACAGTAGGACATTTACAAAATATCTTCATGGAACATGATCTTTACTTAATATCCTAATGATTTTTGGCATAAAAGAGAAATGTATAATTGTGACCCATACAATGTATTGTTAGCTATTGCTACAAATATCCCCCAGCGACTCAACACTGCTTTTGTGCTCCAGGGACACATTTATACATAAAAATATCTGTGAGGCACAAACGAGTCAGCAACTTTACCAAATTAATACATAAAACTAGATAAAAAATAAAACATACTAAACAAATAAATAAATGTCAATGAATAATCTCAGAAAACCTGCCAAAGTCATTTCACATCAAAATGATAATAAAAAATAAAATTATATTTTGCATAAAGAAAATTATGCCTGTTTTAGGACCATTAGGATTTTTGCACTGGCATTAAATAAGAAAAAATAAATAAACAAAATAAAAAGCACGTTATTGTAATGCATATACTGTATATGCATCATGAAATGTGGACCACCTTTAATTTATGCTGATATAAAAAAAAAGTAAAGAATAATTGCATTATGTGAATGTCATATTTATCATTATTTTCTTTATACAAAATATAATAAAAAAAATACTTTCTACCAAGAATGTCATATTTCACACCAAAATAATATAAAAAATAAATATGGAATAATATTTTGCATACAGAAGATTTTTCGCACTGGTGTTAAATTCTCATTAACATAAAGCAAAAAATAAATAAATAAAATAAAAATCTCATTATTGTAATGTATATATATATATATATATATATATATATATATATATATATCAAAAGAAAGCTTTATTTTTTTTTTATACAAAATATAATTTACATTATACCAAGTATATGTGAACGTCATATTTCACACCAAAATAATAATAAAAAAGAAATTCTATTTTGCATAAAGAAAATATGCCCGTTTTTAGAACCATTAAGATTTTTTTTTTTAAGGAAAAAGTAATAAATAAAAATAAATTACAATTATATATATTATTATTATATTGTTTTACTTTTTATTCTTTTATTTTTTGGAGTGAAATATGACCTAGAAGTGTTCATGAATTTGATGCATTTTAAGAGCTCAGGTTATTAACACGAGACAACCATATGTAGTGAAATATTAAATATTTCAACAGAATAGCTATTAATATTTGCACAAACTCCGATGCACCAAATCATGTTCATGATGCAATACAATCCATAAAGTGTCCTTTTGAGAAAGAAAGCCAGTCTAGCATGTGCCACACTGAGTACCAGCTTTACAATATTGCCAATTATGCAAACGTCTGCTCTTTAAACATGCAGGAGTTTAATGAACAGAATGCAAACGGTGCTTTAAATCTGCCTTCATTCATTTAGTGCTTGACTTTTCTACTATTAACTCTCTGTAAACGTGAGCGTCGCACCAGAACGGTGCGCTATTTTCACCAGTGTTGTTTTTATACGAAATTTTTGAGCTTTAATACATAATCTTTGTAATAAAGTTGTACATATTTTGGAAAACGCAGGCGCGGGAGTTTTTATTGTGCTTCTCAAAGCATTATTTTAGAGTGTTGCATCTCTCACTTGAATCATTCTGCTCTAAAACGAAGTCGAATCTCTAGAAACACAATATTTGCAATGACTCTAAAATGCCGTTTCAGGGTTATTATGACGCTTGGTCCCACAGATCATAAATCTAACGGCAGGAGCGCCATCAGTTTCTTTGAACTCTGCTGCTTTTCTTTCTAATGACATGAAATGAGTGGCACCGAGGTAAGTGTGTGACTTTACCGTGGTGAGGCGGGGAAGCACGTTTACACGACTGACTCAAATCTGCACTGATTTCAGGCCTCCACCTAAACAGTGCGGTTCACGTCAGCGGATGCTGTTTCACAGTTTTAATAAAATATAATGATCTCTGGGTTCAGAGATGTTGCTCGTCTGCATCTCTGAGAACAAGACGTGATGTTCCTACAACATAAAACAATGCAAACGCCACTAAAGAAATGAAGAGTCACCCAGTAAACTTGGTTAAATAACAATAAATCATATATGAAACACTGCATGATTCGTTTATGATTTAGTTGCGTGTTAATAAAGTGTGTGAAGCGTCTTATGAACCGATCCTGATGCCCGTCGATTTAAAATAAATCCACAACGGAAGGTAAATGAATATTATAATGTTATCTTAATGATCCTAAAAATGTATTTTCTTTATGCAAAATATATTTTTTCTATTTTTTAGAACCTAAAAGAATTATTACTGTCAATAAATAAATATATTTTTAACTCTATTACAATAATATCATAATAGTAT